GATTAATACATTATTTATTGTTAACTGTCATAAATATCTGTTAATTGTAAAGCTCTATCATGGAAGAAAACTTGCCATGTATCTGAAAGTGCATACCTTCCCCTAAATAATTCTTTATGTTTTAATAAGAATGTATTGGAAGCAGTTTCATCAATAATGGAAGATCCAATTACTGGTCTTCTGGATTAAGGCATTCTTTTATTGCAAGATTTTAATGCTAGAATGGGAAGTTCAAACATTGCCAATGAAATCTCAGACTAATTAAATGACTATAGCCTAAGGAGAAGGATATCTAAGACTCCACTATTAATCTTCTCAAGAATAGTCTCTATATGTGATGAACAGATGGATATATATATGTGTGTATATATATATCCATACATACATATATATTATACCTTATTTCAAAAGAAAAAACTGTAAGGAGTTGTTTGGAGGAAAATTAGTTTAACTTTTGAATAAAAAAGGAAGGATGGTACTGTATTTCTTTTTGGAGCCCTTTTTCACCTTCTTGCAGAGGGAATAGTTGTATTTTAAAATGCAGTGGTGGATTGAACCAAATGGATTGTTCTAGAGCTTCATTTACTCAATGTTTAGAGTTGGTGTAAAAACACCAATGACAATAATCATCACCAATGCTTTATGAGTACCTGTTACGTGCCAAGCACTCTTCCATCCTCATTTATCCAAATTTTACAGATAAGGAAGCAGCCACAGGAAGGTTAATAACTCAAAAACTAAGTGGCAGAGTGGGGGGTATTGGAATGTCTCACTGCCTCTCCACTTGATCATTCACCGTTAATCACTACTCTCTAGAGTGTTTTATTCTCTATTATCTCTTGCAGCACATGCTCTTAGTTGCTCTGCAGCATGTGGGATCTTAGTTCCCCAACCAGGGATTGAACCTGAGTCTCCTGCATTTCAAGATGGATTCTTAACCACTGGACCACCAGGGTCTTGCATGAGAAATGTTATACTCAACAACAGCATGTTGAAATGGGACTTTCTGCTTAGAAGACTGGGGCAGTGGTTCCAAGTTTTTAACTCTAATTTTGAAGAGGTACCTCTCCCCTTGGACAGTACTTTCTACTGCCCTTCTCTCTACTTGTTTCATGTCCATGGGAGAAATGGTGGCAGAATTCCTTTAAATCTTTAGACTTGGTGTATGAGTTCAGTTTCTTCATAACACTGCATTTTCTCTGGATGGTAAGGAGGAACAGGGGCTATGTTTGAGGATTGGTGGAGCCAGAAAACATGGCCCTGAAATTTCCCTCTACTCTGTATGAGGAAGGCTTCCAGGTTCAAGTCAAGCCCATCCTTCACTTGGCACAAATAAATCTTCAAAAAAGCTATAGCATCTTTTAAAAAATCTTTCTGTGATATTTCTTTTGGGGACGTCTAAGGAAAAATTTGGCACATGGAACTTTAAGAATACTTTTATTATACTACTTTAAGTATAACATTTCTCAGGAAAGATCCCTTTTTTAGTACCTTTGATAAACATTGTATCCTGTTTCTAGAAATTTGTGAATGTCAAGTTCATGTTTCTGATGGGAAGAAGTTTATCAGTATCTTAGAGAACATGGTCACTGAACATAGAAGTCATAAGTTTAAAAAAATAAAGCCTTGCTACTAAAGTTTGGGAAAAGATCTATTTCTTGGCATTTGCAGCTAATCTAAATGGGCCTGGAAATCATTGAAAAATTATATTCAGTTTACATTCAGATACTCAAAATGGGACAAGTAAATGCTCAGATTTGGACATAGTCCATCTCATGACTGATACCATGTGGTATTCAGGGATCACTGTCTCAAACAGTTGCTTAAAATCGGCCACAGTCAGTATCACATCAGCCACAGGTGAAAATGTGAGAAGTCCTCACTTTGGAGATGACTTCATGGGATGTAACTACTGAGGATTGATTTTGATTAATATCCTTCAAGGAGACCTCTACTTTAAGTGAAAACCTGGAAAACAGTATGATTTGTATAAATGGTTAGGCTAAAAATACACAGAAAATCTTCCCCTTTTGAAAGCTACAGGATTCACAATGCAATGGCAGCCTAAGCTGGAACTGTGGAGAATGGGAGTGGGGAAGGACTGAATGTGACAATTTATTGTGCTCACATACAATCTTTATGTGCTAAAACCTTTATTCCAAGTGTTTGGTTGACATTTAGTGCTGATGCCATCAATTGACTTATAATAATCTCTCGTAACCAGTAACCTCAACCTTCCCTCAGAAGTCTTGGACATAAAGGAAATGCAAACCCTAGCCAAGATCCTTTCACTCAGAGATTCAGTTCAGTCAGTTCAGTGCACCTATAAGTCCTTGTAAGGACTTTTCCTGTTTTCAAATTCTCCTCTCTAACATTAGTCTTTTTTTCCCCACCACCATATCCTGTTTATTCCCTAGAAATAAATAAGAAAGTTGTTTTCAAGCCTGAAAATCCGTGAGTCCACATTTACAACCAAGACTCAAATGCTTTTCTGCTTTTGTTGTTGCTGTTTTTTTTTTTTTTTTTTTTAACCACATCCAGTAGAGTTAGGCTATAATTTTGGCCAACATCAGTTGACACTTCTAATTTGTGACTTCTATTTACATAAAGTGAATTAATTGCTGGTTCTATTAATCCTGCAAAACCCATGAATCCTTAATGTTCAGTTTGCTTCAAATGAGTAACAGTGTATTTGTTCCTTCTCAACGATGACTTCTTGCTGAGCTCCTTTTAGATAACATGCCTTATATCTTGGATGATTTATTCACTTTCATGTTCCCTAGAATTTATTGCTAAAGGTTGACGTGAATGCTTACAGTTTGGGCTCTAATATAATCTCCTGAATGGCAATTAATAAATAAAAGATGGTTACTATTGTTGACAGAGGAACTAGGCTTCCTCAGATAGTTTTCATCTTCATGTTTTTCCCAAACTTCATGTCAGATCCCTAGGGAGAGATGGTGTAAAATGTTTTCTGTAAACTCCAAAGCTTTTACTGTTGCTTTAATACCCCCACACCTCTCTGTTGCTTTTTGTTTTCTTGTCAGAAACAATCTTACTCAGTTTCTGTTTCTTCCACTCACTTTCATTCCTGGGACTATAAGAAATACACCTCTTTGTGGATTTAGTAGCAGTGTATTCTTATTATTTACAGTTTGCAAAGTAGCACCTGAAATTTCTTATGTTTTTTCCTTTCACCTTAATCCCATCTATGTTGCATATCTTAATGATACACTGTTACCTGTAAAATGGAATGTTTATCGTCATCATGTACATTGTTAAAGTGCAAAATTGCCTCCTGTAAGGTAATGTGAAACTGGAAAAACAACATCCAGTTTTTGCATTTTTGTCTGCTTAACTAGGCTCAGGGCTAATATAGACTAATGGTCTTAGTTAAAGATGAGGAAACTAGAGACCATTTGAAGTAGCTTTACCATAGTTAAGTAGAGGGTGAAGGCCAAGTACTACTTTGGACAGTATAGAGCAGAAAAGGCACAGTGAGGCTTCCTGAAAACAGTTCCCAGCTCTGCTGCTTATTAAATGTGTATCTTTAGACCAGGTATTTCTCTGCCCTCTGCCTGAGTTTCCACATCTGTAAAATGGGAACAATATTGGCAGTAGCACAACTTAAAGGATTATGTTAAGTTAGTACAGGTAAAGCACTTAAACTAGGCTAAGCATTCTCTGCATTGTTAGCTATTAGCATTATTGTCATTATTTTGACTGTTTTTAACATATTTACAGTACCTGGGAGGGTGTATTTTGTTTTTTAACTCTATGCATGTCTATACAGGCATGATGCCTTTGCTGTACTTCTTTTCTATTCTTGTACTACCTAGTATTTTCTTAAGCAACTAGTAATAATACTTAGGGCAGCAGCGTTAGTAGAAGCAAAAATAGTGATCATAGTAAGAAGTGATAGAGCTGTCTCCTGAGCCTTACTATATACTAGGCATTGAAGTAGCTACTTCATGTACTCAATCTGTATCTACTCAAAACTCTAAGGCAGTCTATTTCCAGAAATGCAAGTGCAGCCCCTTCATGACAGTAAGCTTTGTAACTGGAGAGGATCATGAGCTTTGGCCCTGGTGGAAAAGAGCCCTGCTAGAATTCCCTCCATCTTTAAAATAATCCTCATGCTGCTGATATTTATATAGCCTAATCCTGTTACGGACAACTCTGAGCCTGACTGTGGGTGGGAATGGAGATCAAGCCATGAGTGAAAAGTGGCAGGTAACAGGGCAAGACAAACAGTGCAAATGAAAAATATTACATGTCAAAACACAAATTATTAAACTTCACCCAGGCTATTTTGGAATATTATATCATGCAAAGAAAATTACCCCATTTCCTAGATAATCAAATAGAAATACACATGGAGCAGTAAGCATTGACACAGAGAAGTTGTTTTCCTTCCTGGCTTTGCTTTGCCTGTCGACTAAATAAATTGCATTTACCAAACAGGAACAGTGCTAGAGTATGAAAAAGTGTTTAAGGACAGAAATTAAAATCACTTCAATGCTGTTTGATTTTTGTGCATATTACATTCCTTAATAATTATAAGAACAATTTTGGAAATAATAAAAGCTACAATATATGGGAGTGCTTAGAATGAGAACTGTGAAACACTTAGGTGCTTGGTGTGTGTGTGGCTATGTGAGTGTGTGTATACACACTCTGATACTTATAATCTCTAGAGACTGCTACAGCTTTTCAAATTCATGTGTATGTGCATATATATATATATACATATTTATTCTGTATATAACTTGTATTATCATTTTAAATCTTCCCACAACTTTATAGAAAAGGAACTAAGGAACCAAGATGTCAAATACTTGCTCAAAGACCCAAAAAGTGGCAAAGCTGAGGTTTAACACCAAGTCCCACCCCCTTAACACCCCCACCCCTGCCTTTCGAGATAGAACAACCAGCCTTCCTACTCCACAAGGCTGCCTTAGGGGAAGAGTGACCTTTTGCCCTTTTTTCTTTTTTTCCAGATTCTCCAAGCAAAGATTTTGGTCCGACTCTGGGTTTGAAAAAGTCCAGCTCCTTGGAGAGCCTCCAGACCGCAGTTGCCGAGGTCAGGAAGAATGAACTTCCCTTCCACCGGCCTCCGCCACATATGGTCCGCGGCCGGGGCTGCAACGAGAGCTTCCGAGCTGCCATTGACAAATCTTACGATGGACCTGAAGAGTCAGAAGCCGGTAGGGCAGCACGCTTGCTGAAATGGTTTCTTCCTCTCGTTATTATCAGCGAATCACAGGCACAAATGGGTGCTTAACTACAGAGAAAAATGATTTAAGGATCACAATTATATTTTTGATATTAAAAGTAATTCATTTTCCTGATATGTTTTGCCCTTTGGCTTAATGAACATGGAATTGGATAACGCAATATGCAATTTATTTTACAGGGCAACCACTGAAGAATTGTTCTCCTTCAATTTCCTACAAGGACCAACTGTCATTTACCCTTAGGGTAGCAGCACTAAGCATGCATTTCTTGACATTCTTATGCAAGTCATTAGATGCAGCCTCAACCCAAGGACTGACTGCATTAATTGCATTGAAACAGCCGGGTTATAGCTGCACTCAGAAACTTCTCCTGGAAATAAACTCACCCTGTTTGTTGCCCAGCATGTCGGCATTCTGAGCTGATCAGGGTTAACAAGCTGCTTTCAGAGAGATCAGTGTTTCAGCCCATATCAAACCTTTTATACTCCTGGCTAAGCAACCAGCGTCCCCCACTCCCAACAGCAAAAGCCTTGCATAACCAGTTAGGCAGTTGTCTCTTCAAAGGGCACATGTAGCCACATGGCAGAGTAGAACTCCTGAGTGCTTTGATTTGTTCTTCTATATTTTAACTTTTCTTGAAATCCTGACAGAGGAGCCCCTGACTATGTGCATTGATTTTTTTCCTCTTGTGCAGATGGTCTGTCTGATAGGAGCTCTCACTCCAGCCAAGGAGCTCTGAATTGTGAATCTGGCCCTCAGGGGAACTCTGAGCTAGAAAATGCAGAAAATAAAGCCAGGAAAGTCAAAAAAACGAAAGAAAAGGAGAAGAAGAAGGAAAAGGGCAAATTAAAAGTCAAGGAGAAAAAGCAGAAAGAGGGAAATGAAGATCCAGAAAGGAAAATAAAGAAGAAGGGATTTGGTGCCATGCTAAGGTAGGGACCTGCTTTTGAAGGCAAAGTTGGGTTCCTTTGCTTTGGTTTGGTTTTTTCTCTCTTGATGAAACTACTCATTTGTGTTCACTCAAAAAAAAAAAAAAAATGCAAGCTTTCCTTCCTCTTCAGCTAGATGCCTAAAAATCTTTTTTTAGTTGAAATATACTTGATTTACATTGTTGTGTTAATTTCTGCTGTACGACAAAGTGATTCAGTTATAAAAGAAGAATATATATATATATACACACACAGACGTACACACACATTCTTTTCCCCTATGGTTTATCACAGGATATTGAATATTATTCCCTCTGCTGTATGGTATGGCATTGTTGTTTATCTGATCTCTATGTAATAGTTTGTATTCACTGACCCCAAACTCCTAGTCCATCTCTTTCCCACCCTCCCTCATCCTTGGCAATAGCAAGGATGTATATGAGTAACAGACTCTATGTATAGGAGTCTGTTTCTGTCCCATTAGGTGAATTCATTTGTGTCATATTTTAGATTCTACATATACCTGATATCATATATCTGTCTCTCCCTTTCTGACATACACCACTTAGTATGATAATCTCTAGTTCTAGCCATGTTGCTGCAAATGGCATTATTTCATTCTTTTTTATGCCTGAGTAATATTCCACTGTGTATACATAGCACATCTTCTTTATCCATGCATATGTCAATGGACATTTAGGTTATTTTCATTCTTGGCTATTGTGAATAGTGCTGCTATGAACATAGAGGTGCATTTATCTTTTTGAATTGTAGTTTTGAATAGATATATGCCCAGGAATGGGATTGCTGGATCATATGTAGATGCTTAAAAATCTTAACTTGGTGATTGTGCATGCTCCTTTTCTGCAAAGGCAGAAGGAGCCTTCTTGGTTGGCTTCTGATACTGGTGATGGCAGGAAGCTGCCATAAAAATGTCAAATACAAGTCAAGACTTGCTGGAGGCATGGGTGGTACCCAAAGCCTTTGGTACCAGTGCATTATGTGAGTAAAGAATATGCTTCTTCATCAACATGGGGAAAGCAAGAGGTAAGGGAGTCTTCAACTGTGACCTATAGAATACCACCTTTGAATTAGAGACGACAGGGTAGATGAACCATACCCCACTCCCACTCCATCCCCAGTGATTCCAGGTGTGTCCATGGCCAGGTCTGTGTGCACATCAGCCATCACCTACAGAGGCACTGTGATGTAGTAGAGAGGTTATTGCATCTGGAGTCAGAAGACCATTGTCCGAACCCATCACCTTCCTATACAACTGCTGGGCATCACACACGTTAAATACCGTCATACACGTTAAGGCTCCTTGAGCCTTGCTTTCATCAGTTTCAGAATAAGTCTGGTCCACTGCTATCTAACTCAGTGAGACTGTAAGACGAGATGTCACAGGCAGCCAGTCCATCGACTAGGCATGGCTCAGCAGGGTGCAATCAGAAAACAACTTTATTTCTTCTCCAACAGCTCCCTTCACATATGCCCTGTTTATGCTGTCAAGATGTCCACAGTTTGATGAGGAAGCACCTCTTTCCATTATTGCCTTTACCTCTATAATTTCCCATCAAAGAAAATCTCTCAGTCTCTACCCTTCTGTTCCATGGGCTGAAGATGAGTCATGGGAGGTGATGGTTGATGGGCCAGTTTGGCATCTCTTATTAAACCCTTAGGAGATGTCTTTCTCAAGAATGCCGAGTGGTATTTGTCATCAGATGTTCTCAGTTAAGGATCTTCCACTGAAATTTTAGTGAAACAGAAAGTTCCATTCCGTATCTGTTATTCATATATATATATTCTCTCTCTCCCTCTCTCTCTCCCTGTGTGTGTGTGTACGTACATGTGACTTTGAAACTACAGAGTGACATTTAGGGATACACATAATCTAGACACCAGTGGACAAATCTCTAAGAAACCCTTGTTTTCCCTGATGGTTTCTATGGTTTTATATATCCATTTACCAGTTAAAATGTTAAACTTGCCCTTATTCTGGGTAACTGTCATGACTGCTATTAGATGATCATCCTTGATAATAATGATAACACAGAACTGTAATATATTTAGATGAGCATCACCTTTGCAGTTGTGGAGTTCAGAGATTAAAAATGCAGACTGTATTTGTCACTCTTATGCCAATCCTGGCTTCTGTGCTTTCTCTCTAGGTAACACTGGGCAAGTTACTTAATCTCTGTGTCATCTAAAAAATGGGAATAACAACAAAATCTATTATTATGAGAATTATAGCTGCTTAATTATATGTAACTTGCTTAGAACAGTGCCTGGCAAGTAACAAACTTTCAATAAATGTTCATTATCACAGTAAGTAGAATAATGGCTTCCCTAAAGATGTTCATGTCCCAATTTCTAGTACCTGTGAGCATGTTATATTGCCTGGCAAAGGAGAATTGAGGTTGCAGGTAGAATTAAGTTTGCTGTTCAGCTGACCTTAGGATAAGGAGATTATCCTGAATTTCCCGCTGTGGGCACATGGCAAGAACAAGGGGTCTTAAAAGTGAAAGAGGAAGGGCTTCCCCGGCGGTACAGTGGATGGGAATCCACCTGCCGATTCAGGAGACACGAGTTCGATCCGTGGTCCGGGAAGAGCCCACATACTGCAGAGCATCTGAGCCCAGGCACTGGGCCTGCGCTCCGGAGCCCAGGAGCCACAGCTGCTGAGGGCCAGCGCCCAGAGCCCACGCTCTGCAAAAGGGGAAGCCACTGCCAGGAGAAGCCCGCACGCCGCAACTGGAGAAAAAACCCATGCAGCGGCAAAGTTTCAGCACGGCCAAAACTAAACAGATAAAAATTTCTTACAAAGGTGTGACTGTGGAAGACAGATACAGAGAAATGCAATATGTAGCTGGAGGGACTGTGAGCCGAGGACTGTGGGCAGCCTCTAGAAGGCGGGAAGGGCAGAGCAATGCATTCTCTCTGGAGAACTTCCAGATGGGAGCACAGCCTGCCAACCCATTAATTTTGGCCCATTTTTGTTGTTTAAGCCACTCAGTGTGTGGCAGTTTTTGCAGCATCAGTAGAAAAGCATATTGCTATTATCATAATTATTATTACTTCTACAATATTAATTTATAAGGTTAAAAAATCCTCTTTAAAGTGCTAAAGAAAAATACTATAATGATTTAACTATAGTAGTCCATAAATAGAAAAACTATTATAGCTTCACATATCCCATTTTCTAGAATGTTACTGAATTAAACTTTAACTCTGTATTTTCTTTCACATGATGTGATTTGGCAGGTTCATGCTCCATTGCCCAGAATACAGAGTTGGCTCTTCCTGTCGTTGTCCAATGTTTGCTGTGTCTTCCTCTGATAGAAATCACAGGTCCTTCCTAGATTCTTGAGACATCTAGCAATTCAGATTTTATTTCCTTGCCCTATTTTAGAAAAATTAAGATCTGAAAGGTGGTGTTTGATTTTTTTCCTCTGGTGTAAAAATAGCAACTGTTTTCCGTAGCCTTTTGCATCCGAGTTTGTGAGCATATTGGAGATGCTGCTACATGCACATTTTCAAAAACAAAGAACACAAAAGCTGTTACCATTACCCCACAGACTTTGCTTTAACTCTCATCTGTTGCTCAGATGCTATTGACTTAGTTACTTATTTAAAAAAAAAAAATTGATTGCTCTAAGGATCTCAAGGAGTTAGATATGTGGTTTAAATATGTATTATTTTTTCCAGTATCTGCACTTCAGACACCCTCCTGAACTTCAGTATGGGTTGTGTAGCTGTGCCATGTACAGTGATACTTGGCCGCGGGCGTGAGCAGGGACCAAATTTCTGCCTCCCTCTCCTTCCCTCGCCACACATCATGGAAGTGTAATTGTGGTAGCAGTAGCTTTGCTCTTGCTCGTGGAAAGTTAAGTGCCATGTGCTTTTCTGCTATTCTCTGGTCACTTTGTGTTGATGCCATGTAATAGCACAGTGTAGCTCAGTTAATTTAACTTATTTCCTATCATCTTGAAAAAATTATGGAAGATCTCATTAATTCATACCTTTATATGTATTGTCTGGCCCCAGTATGCTTTGTTGATTTCAGAGTTACTGCCTTGCAGATTCACCTATGGTCTTACATAGGCTATGACTTACTGTGGGAAAATATACAGCTTAAGAACCTACCAATTTTGGTAGTTTCCCTCTATACTCTGTTTTACCTGCTATTGAAAGAGAATTTTAGAGGATCAGGGTGCTTACTTTTTTTTCATTTTGTGTTTCTTGTATTCTTCATGGCATTACCCTGCAGAAAAGACCACCAGTGGCTCCTTGCAACCAAAGGGTAAAGTTCAAAACCCCTTAGTAAACAACCTCATAGCTATCAGCCCTATTCCACCTTCCTGGGGTCTAACAGATATTTTCTAAGCACTAAAAACATATATATATCCTTTGGCTAAGAAAATCTTACCCTGTTTATAGTAAAAACCCAAAGTCAGTCCTTGATTTCTTAGTTATTTAATAAGCTTGTCAATCCTTCTATTCTTTAAACTGAATTCTGTCAGTTTAATTGTATTTTAAATCCATTCCTTTACATCATAGCCACTATCATCTCCTCTTGGTATTATAGACCACTCACTTTAAAAACCTTCAGATGGTCAGCTTGTTCTGGACCTAAATGGAAAGGTTTAAAGTCCATCAGGTACCTTCTTCTATACCGCTGGTGTGCCCAGCAAACTTCTTTTTTGATGGATTAACAGAGAACAAAGAGTAAAACCTGCCACTAAGAATTTCATTTCTGTTTTTTAATATTTTGCCCATATTCATTTGATCAGTAACATTGTTTAATGCCTCCTCTTTGTTAAAGGCATTCGTAATTATTCTTCACTTACATAACCACCATTTAATAACGGCCTTCTTTGCATCAGACTTCCCTGATGCAAACAGAGACCTGCAATGCAAGAGACCTGGGTTTGATCCCTGGGTCAGGAAGATCCCTTGGAGAAGGGAATGGCAACCCACTCTAGTATTCTTGCCTAGAGAAT